GACGCGACTGGTAGGAGACGGGGAGGGGACGCGACGGGGAGGCGACGGGGTGGGGACGTGACGGGTAGGCGACGGGGAGGCCACAGGGGAGGGGACGCCACGGGGAGGCGACGGGGAGGGGACGAGACGGGGAGGCGACGGGGAGGGGACGCGACGGGGAGGGCTGCGGGGTGACGGGGCTGCAGGGCGACGGGCTACGAGGGGCGCCTGTCTAACGCGCGATTCGGGGGCCCGCGGGGGCCTTCCTAGGTCGCGACGTGGGGGGACCCACGGGGGTCCTTCCAGCTCGCGATTCGGGGGGGCCCGCGGGGGCCTTCCTAGGTCACGACGTGGGGGGACCCGCGGGGGTCCTTCTAAGTCGCGATTCGGGGGACTTGCGGGGGTCTTTCTAACTCGCGATTCAGGGGACCCGCGGGGGTCTCTCTCTCGCGATTCAACGAGGGGGGGGGGGGGGGGGGGGGGGGAGCGGGCGCTAAGGGGTGACGGGGCACTACGGGTAACGTGGTACTAACGGGTGAGCGCGGGGCGGTGGGCCCACGGGAATTGATCTGCTCTATACCATGTCAATGTGGGAACGGAATAATGAATTGACTAAGGAACGAACAAACAAGCAAGATATAGGAAACCTTACCCTAACCCTAGGAAAGAGATAGTACACCTAGACTAAGACAGATAAGTTATAACAAACATAGCTTGCCACCTGCTTCCCGGCCTCCCCTTGCAAGGCGACGGTGCAGCGACCTTGGACGGTTTGCAGCGCCCCATTGAAGCCGCGCACGTGCTTCACAGTGCCGCTCGGCCCCAGGTCGGCAAAGGCCTCCTTCGTCCCCATCAAGTGGTGCGAGCAGCCGCTGCCGAGCAGCACCACCGCCGGGTTCGCCTGCATGGCGGCCGCCAACGCCTTGAATATCTCGCCGGCCTCCGGCGCCAGCGAGACGGTCGGCTCGCCGACCGACGAGCACGACGCCTCCTCGTTGCCTCATCCTTTGCCGCCAGAAGAGGAGTCAGCGTCCTTCGTCAACGCCATCGACGTTGTGGACTGCTTTTCCTTGCGCGACTTCTCATTCCGACGTCGACGACCGTTGGCCGACCTGCCCGCGCCCCCCCTTGTGGTCGTCGTTGTCGGAGTTGTCACGGTCGGGAAACTCGAAGAAAAGGTGGTCGGGGTCGCCGCAGACCCAGCACGCACGCCGTCGACCACCACCTCCTCGACCACCATCCCGAGCCGGCTTCGCCGACCTCCCTCCTCCGCCCTGCTTCGTCGGGGCGGCGTAGTTCGCCTGCCGAAGGAGCTCCGTGGGCCGTTCTGCCTCCTGCATCGCCTCATCCTTGTTGATTTGGCTGGTGAGAATGTCCTCGTCGAACGACCCCCGCACACCAGGCATCACCATCATCCGGTGCATGAGGTTGTAGCCGCTCGGCAAGCCCTTGACGACGTGCGTGATGTACGACGCCGTCGAGTAGTGTCTGTTGTGCCAAAGCACTATAGTGGCACGGTCATCGCACTCCCATTCAGCCTACAAGCCTGCTCAGATTCTGGAATTTTGTGGGGAGGTGCTTCAACATGTGTTCTTCACGCCCTCAAAGTTTCAGAAATTTGAAGCAGTGTACAAGGCATGGCAACATTTTTAGTTTCAAGACTTATGGCATCCCGGAAGTGTGTGTTACTCTTTTTGGTAACACCCGAGTTCACCATTTCGGCTGCTGACTCACTACCAAGCTCTGATTGGTCTGAAAATCGGTGTGGCAGTCCTTTCCCGTGTTGTTCAGGTGGTCACCGAGTTTCAGGACAACCCAGCATCGGAGAAGCACGTGACAGCTGTCGAAAGTTACTGTTCCGTAGTCATGGTGCACTGTTGGCAGCATTTCCCTTGCCACCCTTTCATTGTTGTCATGCCAATGGTGCAGGGACAGAGAATGAGACAAAAAGTACAGGTGGTCAAGTGGGACTCTACCACCCTCCTTTTGAGAAGTGTGGTCTTCCTAGAAGCAGTTTGCAAGAGGGTGCAGGTGGGAAGACAAGCTGACTCATGGTTGGCTTGACTCACTATTGGTAGCCTTGAGTACAGCTCTGAACATCCAAGTGTGGTTGGCTTTGCTGACCTAGCTAGGACGTTTCCCATCCTTCTCTAGCCTTTCTCCCCTAGGACTCAACCTTCTCTGAGTTCCCAGGATGGTCCCAACCCCTTAAGAGTCCCCTAGGCAATGTTGTACTCACCTCTTCCTTGCATCAATGAAACTACACGTTTTCAGCCGAGCTTACATTTTCGTTCACTGCGTAGCGCATACACCTCTGATGAAAGCAAGCAATATATCGTTGGAAAGCACACACCTGAAGCTAACGTCTGTCCAAGTTTCATGGGCATCCGCGACCCCTAAGTGGACTCTAGACTATAACAGTGTCGACGCCGGCCATCCGCATGTCGGCGAAGATCCGTCGAGCACGGTTGCAGTAGTCTATCGCCGATTCCTGCTCTCCCATCCTGAGGTGTGTCAGATGCTCCTCCAGCTGGCCAATGTACAGGTCGTCGGTGGCCTGGTACGTCGACATGATAAACCGCCACGCTTGGTGGCCGGCGTCCAGTTGAGTTCGGCACGGCTTCAATGCGGTCTGCACCATCGGCGAGCAGCACCGCGAGATGATCATGAAGGTCAGCAGGTGAGTGGCCAAAATTCCGCCCGCAGCTCGACGTCGTCCTCGCCCGGCATCGGCACGTTGCCGTCGGCGAATCTCATCAGCCCGGATCTCTAGCTGAGGCTCAATCGACTCCCTCCACGTGATGAGGTCTCGTCAACCTTGCAGCGGCGAGAATTTGAAGTACCTATACACCGGCGCAATTTCGCCGGCCGTCACGTGGGTCGCCGACATTGGCCTTACACTGCTTTGCTAGGGAGAATGGCGCCGTCCACCGACGTCGACGTGCGAGCTGCCTGCGGCCGCCGTCGGCCACTGCACTCGCGCTTACGTCCCGCCGACGCCGACGTCGGTGGACCTGATCACTCCTCTATGCCTTGTGCCCTCACTGCTGCCAACTTGGTCGCCGCCGTCGACCTCTTCGTCAACCCCGCCCTCGTTGCGAACCGGTCGAGGGGAGGCAGTTCGGGGAGGGTGTTCCGCCGCACACTGCGCGCGGATCCCCAGGAGAACCACCTCCAAGGGGAGCACCGGACCGAGCTCGCCAGCTTCGTGGCGTCTCCTCGCATCAGCCTCCTTTGCGTGCAGGGTATCCGCTACACATGCTTCGGCCTCGTGGCCTACCATGGTGACTAAGACGGCTGCCGTCCTGCTAACGAATTAGGTAATGCGCATCTGAGTTGTCTAATCTGAAGGGTTCTTTGCGGGGCCGTCCACGCTACTGCACCATGCAGAGATTCACTCTAGACCGGGAGCTGGACTAGAGGGGAAGGCACTGGTTTTGAAAGTGATCGCAGCGTTCCTTTCCTCGTGTTCACTCTACGCACACTTTCACGGGGAGAAAGGCAAGAGTTTCAATAGCAAGAGAATTACACAATGGTTGGAAAAAGCAAAGCAAAACTGACTACATCAGATGCAAGATTGCCTAGCACACAAGCAGGTCGACCGCCAGCGTAGCGAAGTCGGCGACCTGCCAGCACCGCAGACTCGACCGCACTCCACCACTGCAAAGTGACGACTTGCCAACGTTGCAAGTCGACGGCTTGACAACGCTGCAGCAAATCGGCTGTCCAGCGTTGCATCCGCAGGTAACAGCAGCGGACACGCGCGCACCAGCTTCACAGGTGCTTGCAAACGGTTGGTGCGACGTGCACCGTTACGTGCACGGCGCGTGCCAGGTCGTCCACGTGTCGACGGCGGCGCCTGATAAGCCACGTCGACCTCGGGATACCACTTCGAGGTCGGCTTTGCCAGAACCTCCTGGGCGACGGTCGCGTACCCCCGCAAAACCTTGTCGCCCTGGACACTTGGTCGACCGGGCTACCACCAAGTCGGCGTCGACTTGTGCGGCCGAAGACGACCAACGGCTGTACTTGGTCATCGACCATGCAGGTCGACACTTCCCGCCGACTACAACAAGTCGGCGTCCTTGCAGGTCGACAAAACCCCTCGTCGATCACCCCGAAGCTGTCCGCCGACCTCACCAAGTCGGTGTCCCATGGTCGGCGCCCTCAAGTCGGCGCCCCAAGGTTGGCTCCCCAAGTCGGCGCCCCTCGCAGGTCGACAAGCCCCTTCGTCGACCTCCCAGGTGAAGTCGGCCACCGGCTCCCGTCGTCGGCGGCTTCGCATTGGCTCCGTGCAGATCGACCAACTCGGCATCGCCCACTGCAGACGGTCGGCTGCAACTCCCGCACACCCGACCACGAAGTCGGCTCCGCCCAAGCGAAGACGGACCAACACCCAACTCCCGTTAACAAGTACCAACCATACGGGTAAGTAACATAGTTATCCTTAATACCATCTATACAGTTAAAAAATGTACTACCTTACTACCTTAAGTAATGCATTTACTCTAAGTATCAACCATACAGGTAAATAACGCGCTTATTCTTAGTGATAACCATACGGGTAAATAATGCGGAGATAACTACTACAACGGAAGCTAGACTACGGGCTAGGCACGGGTGCTCGTGTGATCTCTGCGTTCGTTGGTCCTTAGTCGTTTTCCTAGTGCACACACTGCTTGCTAGTTCACGGGGCAGATTGGCAAGAGTTTCACTAGAGAAAGTTGACAACAAAGGTACAAAGAAGTTGGCATGGCAAGACTACACCAGAGCTAGCATTCAGGTTGGTCGACTGCCAGCACAGCATGGTCGACCGCGTTCCAGCACGACTTGGTCGACTGCGCTCCAGCAGTGCAAAGTCGACGGCGTGCCAACGCTGCAGGTCGACGGCGTGCCAGCGTAGCTCCCGCAGTACAGCATCGCACCAGCTTCGCAAGTGCTCGCAGATGATTGGCGTGCTAAGCCTCGTCACCTGCACAGCGCACACACCAAGTCAACCTGGTGCTGACGACTGCATCTGATTAGCCACGTCGACCTCGGAATACCACCACCGAGGTCGGACTCGCCAACTTCGCATGGGCGACCGTCGCACTCCTCCGCAGAACCTCATCACCCAGGTAACCTGGTCGACCGGGCAACCACGTCGACCAGCTGCTCCTGTATGTGCCCGTCGACCTCCCAAGTCGACGACCACCACCAGGCCGACCACACCCCTGGTCGACCAGCTCCAGGTCGACGTCACTCCTGGTCGCCCAACCACCAAGTCGACCAGCAGGCCTGGTCGACCAACCACCAGGTTGACCAGTAGTCCTGTCAGCCGACCACCCAAGTCGGCTGCCCCAAGTTGGCGTCACCAAGTCGACGCCCTCCGCAGGTCGACTTCCCAGGTCGACCTCCCTAAAGTCGGCGCCCGTGCAGTGGCCCCCGTGCAAGTCGACCTCCTCGTCAACCAGCTCGCCCACTGCTGCAGGTCGGCTGCTCCCCTCACACCTGACCACGAAGTCGGCTCCGCCCAAGCGCGGACGGGGCCAACACACAACTCCCGTTGACAAATAATGCACTTGGAACCAACCATAACGTACATACTCTAAGTACCATCCATATGGGGAACTAACTTACATAGTTTTTGTACCAACCATACGGGTAAGTAACGCACCTACTCTGCACCGCAACTAGCACCACGGAAGCCACGTCCTCTGCCATGTTTGCCTCCTTGCATGCCGTAGCCGCCGCTGACATCGTCTCCACCCAGTTGGCGGCGACGGCACTCCTCCTCCAGAATCTTCGTCCGCACCCACTCGAACGTCCACAAGCTCTGGTCCTGCGGCAGGCTCAATCCGCGCGTGTAATGAAGCCACGACTCCGGCAGCAGCGAGAGCCGGCCTCGTCGTCGTTGCCGCGAACTGCGGCGAGCCGACCTTCTGCCGGTACTCCTCCTCCTGTCGCTCCTGTGCCTCCTCGTCGTCGAAGGTGAGCTCGGCGTAGGCGTCGACCGAGACCGGCGTCTTCGGGGTGCGCCCGGTCTGCTCCTCGTCGATGAAGCGCCTACGCAGCTTGTCGGCGTAGCCCTGCTGGTGCAGCCACAGCTTCCCCGCCGACCTGTCGCGGACGATCTCCAGCCCGAGGTACTTCTGCACCGGCGAGATCTCACACAGCTCGAAGGCGGGCTCCAGCAGCTCCTTCAGCTCCTTCAGCATCTCGGTGCTGCTGCTGGCGGCGAGCAGGTCGTCGACGTAGACCAGCACCCAGCAGGCCACTCCGTCGTCGCCGACCTTGAAGTACAGAGCCTCATCGACCTGGCTCTTCTTCCACCCAGCGCCGACCAGCACGTCGTTGAGCGCCAAGTACCACAGCAGCGGCGACTGCTTCAGGCCGTACAGGCTCTTCAGCAGCTTGCATACCCGGCCGGTTCCGTCGTTGAAGTAGTCCGGCATGTAGAGCACCCGATCGAGCTTGCTCTGCAGGAAGGCGTTCTTCATGTCGAGCTGCAGGTTGAGGTTGAGGACAGCGACGATGCTGAGGAAAATCCTCAGCGTGACGTAGCTGCCCACCGGCGCGAACGTCTCGTCGTAGTCGGCGCCGTACACCTGGGTGAAGCCCTTCACGACCAGCCTTGCCTTCTCGCGCTCGACGGTGTCGTCGACGTGGTACTTCGTCGTCAGCACCTTCCGGTTCTTCATGATGTTCACCCCCGGCGGGCGTTCGACCAGCTCCCAAGTGCCCATGTTGATGAGGCTGCGGATCTCCTCCTCCATGGCGGCCTTCACCGCCGGGCCCTTCCAGCTCACCAACGCCTCCTTCACCGTCATTGTCGAGATGTCCCAACGATGCTCGGGGTCGGCATGCATGTCGGGGTCGAGCTCCGGAAACTCCTCATCCTCCTCGGCGTCGTCATACTCCAGGTCGTCGTCGTCCACGTCGTACACCGTGGTGAAGGCAGCGGGGACGAAGAAGTCGGGCGGCCTCCGAAGTCGGCCTGACTTCCGGGGTTCAGGCCGAACCTCCACCACGTCACTCTTGGTGGACTCCTCGGCGTCCCCTTCTTCGTCACCGCCTTCACTGCCGTCGTCGTCCTGCTGCACCTTGGTCGACTTCCTGGCCGACCTCTCCCCTGTGGTCGGCTCCTCTGCCGACTGCTTGGTTGCCGACTGCTCCGTGGTCGGCGTCACCGCTCCCTGCTCCCCTGTCGGCTGCTGCCTTGCTGGTGCCTTCTTCGCCGGCTTCACCCAAGTCGGCTGCTCCTCCTCGACCTGCTCCTCCCCTGTCAACGTCGACTTCACTCCCACGTCGACTTGCCGCTCGTCACGTCGGCCACCGGCGATGCCCTTGGCCGGTGCCGAAGGCGACGTCCTACCGCTCCCCTCATCGCCGGAGGCCGACAACGAGGTCAGCCTGTCCAGGTCGGCCAGGGGTGGAGGGGCAGGGGTCGTAGAGAGAGGGGAAGGAGGACGGACGACCTCGGCGTCCTCAGCAGCAAGCTCACCGACCTCGGCGAGCAGAGGCAGCGTCGCCGTCGAGGTGTTGGTCGGCGGGGTGGTCGGTGTCCGTCCTAACACCGGCCCGTGCTCCGACTTCCACACCTCCAGCGACATATCCTCGTAGAACACCACGTCCGACGTGGTGACCACCCGGTTGTCGGCGATGTCGAGGAGCTCCCAGCCCTTGCTCTCCTCTGACACGCCGAGGTGGAGGCCCCACTTGGCCTTCGGCTTCAGCTTCCCACCACGCTGCTGCTCGGGGACCAAGAACTGCGCCATGCAGCCCCACACCCGGGCCAGTGACAAGTCGGGCTTCGTCCCGGTGAGCAGCTGGTACGGCGTCGTCCCCGGCGGCAGCGTCGGCCTCTCAAGGCAGTTGCGGATCCAGACGGCCTGCCGCAGAGCGAGGTGCCACCAGTGGTGCTGCACGCCCATGTGCAGCAGCATCGTCCGCACCGACTCCACCACCGTCCTCATCTCCCGCTCCGCCATGCCGTTCTGCTGCGGGGTGTACGGGCATGTGAGGTCGTGGATGATCCCCTTGCCGTCCACGAAGTCGGTGAACTTCTTCCCGAGGAACTCCCCTCCTCGGTCTGAGCGCAGCATCAGCACCGACTTCTTCACCTGCCTCTCAACCAAGACCAGCCACTTCTGGAACTCCAGCAGCACATCCGACTTCTTGGCGACCGGCCTCACCCACACAAAGCGGGTCTTGCGGTCCTTCAGCAGCAGGAAGTACAAGCTGCCGTCCTTGGCAGCCATGCGGAACGGCCCGCACAGGTCGATGTGCACGACGGCCAGCACGTCGTCGGCGTCGGAGCCTTGGTCGGGGAAGGTGTGCCGCGCCAGCTTCCCGCCGACGCACGAGACACACGGTGAGTCGGCGCCCGTCGCCGACTTGAGGTCCAGCCCAATGGCGACCTCGCTCTTCGCCGAGCTCCTGATAGTGTCCATGCCGACGTGTGCAAGCCTTGCATGCAGCCTGTCCGGCGTCGACTTCGTCGCCGAGACGATCGCTCGCAGGGCCACAACCTCCGGCGTGGGCGACGTCGACCTCGTTGACAAAGACGCAGGTCGGTGCAGAGGACACGCCCGGAGTACGTCGCCCGACCGAGCACCTCTCCCGCTGCCGAGACGAGCAACATCCCGTCGCCGTCCTCCTGCAGCTTCACGCCGTGTTCCTTCAGTTGGCCGGACGACAGCAGGTTGGCCCGCACACCCGGGACGTACAGCACGTCGGGGATGAGCACCTGCTTCCCGGCCTCCCCTTGCAGGGCGCAGGTGCCGCGGCCCTGGACGTCCTGCAGCGCCCCATTGAAGCCGCGCACGTGCTTGATGGAGCCGCTCGGCTGCAGGTCGACGAAGACCTCATTCGTCCCCATCAGGTGGTGAGAGCAGCCGCTGTCGAGCAGGACCACCGCCGGGTTCGCCTGCACAGCTGCCGCCACTGCCTGGAAGTCCTCGCCAGCCTCCGGCGCCAGCGAGACGGTCGGCTCCACGACGCCGACCAGCGAGCACGACGCCGTCTTGTCGTCCCGCCCCTTGACGCCAGCAGAGGAGTCGGCGTCCTTCGCCGGGGTCGACGTCGTCGACTGCTTCTCCTTGCGCGGCTTGTTTCCTCCTCGACGAGGACGACGACTGCCAGACCTCCCGCGGCCTCCCTTGGCGTCATCATCGTCGGAGTCACTGCGGTCGGGGCACTCGAAGGAGAGGTGGCCGGGGTCGCCGCACAGCCATCACTCCCGACGTCGACCTCCTCCTCCTCGACCACTGTCCTTGGTCGACTTCCTCTTTTCGACTTCCTTGGTCGGCTTCCAGCCACTGCTACCACCACCGCCGGAGTGCCCGCGCTGCCCCGATCGACCTCCTTGCTTCGCTGGGGCGACGAAGTTTGCCTGCGCCAAGAGCTCCTGGGACCGCTCTGCCTCCTGCATCGCCTCGTCCTGCAGGATGTACGAGGTCAAGTTGTCCTCGTTGAGCGTCGCCCTCGTGCTCGGCGCCATTGACAGCCGCTTCAGGAGGTTGTAGCTGCTCGAGAGTCCCTGCATGACGTGGGTGACGTACGACGCCGTCGAGTACTGCGCGCCGGCCATCCTGATGGTGGCGAGAATTCGCCGGGCTCGGTTGCAGTAGCCGGTCGCCGTCTCCTTGTCGCCCATACGCAGGTGCGTCAGCTGCCCCTCCAGCTGGGCGATGAACAAGTCGTCGGTGACTTGGTAGGTCGACTCGATGAAGTGCCACGCCCGGTGTCCGGCGTCGAGGTACTCTCGGCACCACTTCAGGGCGATCTGCACGCCCGGTGAGCAGCACCGCGAGATGACCGTGAAGGTCAACAGCTGCACGGCGCGAAAATCCGCCCGTAAGTCGGGGTGGTGCTCATCCGGCGTCGCCACGGTCCCTTGGGCGAAGCCGATCAGCCCGGCCATCTCCAGCTGGGGCTCGATGGCTTCCTTCCAGGTGAATATGTCGGGTCGACCAACGAGCGGTGGGGTGACCAAGATCCTGTCCGGCGTAAACTTGAAGTAGCCGTAGCTCGGTGCTATTCCGCCCGCCGTCACCTGGGTCGCCGACATCGGCGACAATCCTCTTCGTCGACCTCCGACGTCACCCTGTGAGGAGCCTGCAGTCGCCCGACGACTGCACCCCTCGCGCCTGAACGCCGCCGGCTTCACCGGCGTGTATCACACCTCGCTGCCTCGACGTGCCTCTCGCACTGCTGCCGACTTGACCACCACCAGCGTTGACGCCTACGTCGACGCCGCCTTCGTCGTGTACCGGTCGAGGAGAGGCAGGTCGAGAAGGGTGCTCCGTCGCCCACATGGTGCGGAGTCCAGCCTCGACGACCGCCCAAGGCAGGTCGCCATACTCGTTGGCCTCGTGCCTTTTCCTCGCGTTCTCCAGCCGTGCCTCCAGGGTGTCCACCACCCCTGCGTCACATACGGCTCCTACCATAGTGACTACCGCACAGCTGCCGGCCTGCAACTACGAATTGGGTAAGTGGTGTCTACGTCGACCTGACTGAAAGGTAAGTCGTGTGCCGTCCACGCTCACCGCACCATGCGGAGATAACTACTACAACGGGAGCTAGACTACGGGCTAGGCACGGGTGCTCGTGTGATCTCTGCGTTCGTTGGTCCTTAGTCATTTTCCTAGTGCACACACTGCTTGCTAGTTCACGGGGCAGATTGGCAAGAGTTTCACTAGAGAAAGTTGACAACAAAGGTACAAAGAAGTTGGCACGGCAAGACTACATCAGAACTAGCATTCAGGTTGGTCGACTGCCAGCACAGAATGGTCGACCGCGTTCCAGCACGACTTGGTCGACCGCGCTCCAGCAGTGCAAAGTCGACGGCGTGCCAACGCTGCAGGTCGACGGCGTGCCATCGTAGCTCCCGCAGTACAGCATCGCACCAGCTTCGCAGGTGCTCGCAGATGATTGGCGTGCTGAGCCTCGTCACCTGCACAGCGCACACACCAAGTCAACCTGGTGCTGAAGACTGCATCTGATCAGCCACGTCGACCTCGGGATACCACCACCGAGGTCGGACTCGCCAACTTCGCCTGGGCGACCGTCACACTCTTCCGCAGAACCTCGTCACCCAGGTAACGTGGTCGACCGGGCAACCACGTCGACCAGCTGCTCCTGTATGTGCCCGTCGACCTCCTAAGTCGACGACCACCCCAATTCGACCTCACCAGGCCGACCACACCCCTGGTCGACCAGCTCCAGGTCGACGTCACTCCTGGTCGCCCAACCACCAAGTCGACCAGCAGGCCTGGTCGACCAACCACCAGGTCGACCAGTAGTCCTGTCAGCCGACCACCCAAGTCGGCTGCCCCAAGTTGGCGTCACCAAGTCGACGCCCTCCGCAGGTCGACTTCCCAGGTCGACCTCCCTAAAGTCGGCGCCCGTGCAGTGGCCCCCGTGCAAGTCGACCTCCTCGTCAACCAGCTCGCCCACTGCTGCAGGTCGGCTGCTCCCCTCACACCCGACCACGAAGTCGGCTCCGCCCAAGCGCGGACGGGGCCAACACACAACTCCCGTTGACAAATAATGCACTTACTCTTGGAACCAACCATAACGTACATACTCTAAGTACCATCCATATGGGGAACTAACTTACATAGTTTTTGTACCAACCATACGGGTAAGTAACGCACCTACTCTGCACCGCAACTAGCACAACGGAAGCCACGTCCTCTGCCATGTTTGCCTCCTTGCATGCCGTAGCCGCCGCTGACATCGTCTCCACCCAGTTGGCGACGACGGCAGTCCTCCTCCAGAATCTTCGTCCGCACCCACTCGAACGTCCACAAGCTCTGGTCCTGCGGCAGGCTCAATCCGCGCGTGTAATGAAGCCACGACTCCG